CAGGCTGCTAGCCGATTGGTTGGCACTAATCTACGTTAAGGTCTAGGTCACTAATATGGGCCGTGAGAAAATATGAACAAGCCTGAGTCAACAACCAATCACAGCAAAGTTAACGTGGCAGAATATGATTCGCAGAGAGAACTCTATTTGTCAAGGAATCCCGAAACAACCAATCAGAAGCCTGCGTTTGTCTACCCAAACAACCAATCAGATGACTGCGCTTGTCTATAATAATGTAGTTGAAAGATGTATAAATACGTGTTGATTTTCATAATAAAACGATCTGTTGCCTGGCCCTTGTCTTCTGTTGTTACATTTGGTGTCGCTGCCTACCGACAAATGAAAAGCCTATACCCTGCAGTTTTTGATGGAGACATATGGATCATCGGGCAGGACTTCAAGGCTTCTGCGCAGTTGAGTGGCGTTCAAGATCTGTCAGCGATGGAGCTGCTACTTGAGACGCTGCTGGGAGGTCGGGCGAAAGCAGCATATGAAGGTGTGGGCCGAAGTATGGACGAATGTTCGACAGGGTCAGGCAAACAGTTTCCAAAGTGGGAAGGACCATATATGGTCACTTCGAGATGGGGTTACGCAGACACAGTCGCAATGGCGAACAATGAGAGGCGCGTGAACGTCAGCGAGCTCCAGAAATGGATACAGCGGGACAAGCCAACGATGATGCCTGCACCAAGTAGATCAAGCCGACTTCAGTCGCACGTATTTGACGGGGGGACGAGTGTGGTGAGAGCAGGCTGCTAGCCGATTGGTTGGCACTAATCTACGTTAAGGTCTAGGTCACTAATATGGGCCGTGAGAAAATATGAACAAGCCTGAGTCAACAACCAATCACAGCAAAGTTAACGTGGCAGAATATGATTCGCAGAGAGAACTCTATTTGTCAAGGAATCCCGAAACAACCAATCAGAAGCCTGCGTTTGTCTACCCAAACAACCAATCAGATGACTGCGCTTGTCTATAATAATGTAGTTGAAAGATGTATAAATACGTGTTGATTTTCATAATAAAACGATCTGTTGCCTGGCCCTTGTCTTCTGTTGTTACAATAGCTACGGTTTGAACAGTTATACAACTTTTAATATATTTAGACGTAGTCAACGTACTTTGGTTAGTTCCGTTACCCGTTACCTAAAGCTACGTAGCTACCTTAAAACACTTTTTTCTGAGGTTAATCTTCTGTAGCTACCACCTCAGAAAGCAAATTGGCTCTGTCCTTGAGTTGCGCAGTAAAAGTAGACATTCTGAGAATCTGTTTGGTAAAAAGATTGTCTTCTAAACCAAAAAGTGAACGTATCCTAATCTCCACGAAAGCGCTTAGAGGTATGTATCCTATCACCTCAAATGACTCACTATTTGCAGTCACTTAAAGAGTAAAAATAAATTTACCGAAGACAGTGTGCTTATGATTTCTAGATATCATAATGTACCGTGAGGAAAAGGCCATATCCATAGGGTTATAACAGTCAGACGCGTGATATTAATCCAGAACACAACGACTACGATTCTCGATCACAGAACACTATACTTTGGTACTTAATCGTCTAATAGTATCAACAGATGTTTCGCCAAGAAAAAGGAGACCACTGGTTCAAGGAAAATTAATTTATAGTTCTCCTAAAAATCATGGACATCCCGTAACTTTACTTATCGAGAAACTAAAAGCAACCGGGAAGTAAAAGCTTTATTATTGGAATTGAAACGAACATTTTGTATTCAGCCAGTGTTTCCACTCTGAAAAATGACCAGCTTCTCAAGTTGTTGTAACTACGAAAAAAATCAGCGATTGTAGACCACGATCCGAGTCATTATGCATACTGGTTAAAGTCTTACCTTTATTTGGGACAATTCGGACACTCACCAGATCATTGCATACTATCCCTTTTTTAAATCGATTTGCAACATGTTGAATGGCTGACAACATTGGCTTTACTAGAGACAGTTATAGTTTATGTACTTGGGTCTAATATATTAGGCATTAGTAACCACAGGTAATCTACACTTTAAGACGGAAAGTACATGCAAACATCACGTATTCATACTTCACATGTGGATCGTCCTTGATAAATTGAGACTTTCTCACAATATTTCGCGAGTTTGTTAACTGATAACAGACACAATGACGGAATACTAACCTCGAAAAGCTTTCTCAACTTCACCCCAAGTTCTAAATATTGCGTCCTCAATATAGTCGTCGAAAACCTTGCAAAACGTAATTCTGATCGTGGTCTCTTCATCAGGATGATTCGTATACTGGTGCATTCTGTAAAAATGAAATCAAAAGACAATGGTCTTCCCAGGTTTTTCCATATTAAGCAACCCACAAAGCTAACCAAAATAAAAGCGACCAAACAATCAATTGGAAACAACAGATTAGAGGCTGATGGTATTGACGTTTACGGATGGTACGAAGTATACTAACGCAAGATTTAATACACACGACTTCTATAGTATTCGTTCCGCGTGGACCAAAAGCATAGCAAAACACGAGAATTTATCGTCCGAATTAGGAGATATATTTTGGGACCAAATGGGAGTGCGAGATGATTGCTTAGCTGGCAAGGGATCGTGCACTAACATGACACGACGGAGTAGCCAATGGCGTGGATGCTTGACCAGAAGCCTTCAGCTAGACAAGTCGACTTATACAGTGAGGGACAGCATCCAATGTTCAGTAATGAGTGCTGTGGTCAGTAATTTTATTATTACAGCTCGATTCCACAACGTATTTTTGGTAAAAGTATGGAATTTTCGGCATGTGATATCGGCGGCCCAAATTTTGCAGGCCGACTATAGATATCAGGTGTGCGTCAGCAGGAGATCGAGCCTTGGACCTTGTGAATGATCGGTGAGAGTCCTAATCACTCTGCCACCGCCTCTTACGACTTATGCCACCCTCACTTGGTTATGAGCACGATTTTGAAAACTTCTACACATTAGTATCACATGAACAGCTGAAAATCAACTAAAACACTGAACGACGCATGAGAGCAACGTATGAAACTGTTATTCGAAGTAAATGAATTGACCTGGGGTTAAAAATCAACGACTGATCTCAGCTCACCGACTCACCTATGGTCCTATACGCAGATCACTTAAAAATTTGGAGAGAGCTGAAGGACAACAATGACACGTCTACGTCGCAAAAGGGCCTCAACAAATTTTCAGAGTGGTCCATAGAATGGATGCTGTCGATCAGTGTGGCAAAATACGCAACCATGCACATAGGACAAGCAAGCATCAGCTCATGCGAACTAGTGGGAATAACACTTCCATCAGTTCAGACTCACTTGGACTTAGGTGTCATAGTTAGCCACGACTTAAAAACTACAGCACACTGTCGTGGGATGGCTGCACGTAGTTTCAGGTCCTTATGGACAATTCGCAGAGCCTTTACAAGAATCACCAGAATATGTTTACCTCCTCGTATACATCTCTGTTGAGGTCAAGACTGGAAAACTGCATCCAAGCAGCTAGTCCTTGTCTTAAAGGTGACTCACACATTCTAGAAAGGGTTCAAAGAAAGGCGACACGTATGGTTCACGACATGACTAACTTATCATACGAGGAAAGACTAGGCAGTCATACCGTAGGCAGAGAGGAGATTTAATCACAATGTTTAAAATTTTAAATAATGACTATGGACCTGACATATTCTCTCTTTTCCTTCCCACCAGGTCGGAACACCTTAGAGGACATAACAGGAGAGTTCATAAGCGAAGAAGAAATCATATTGCTGTTGAGTACTGGTTCTCACACCGAGTCATAAACTCTTGGAACCGACTGACAGAAGAAGTGGTGTCCGCAAACTCAACTGATTCATTCAAGAAGAGTTTGGACAACCACAGAAATTTACTACTACTAATAATAATAGGATATTCTCATTTTGTACATGAGGGACGCCAGTTTACAGGCATCATCAGTCTGATAAATTACATATACGATTAGCAATCATACTCAATAATAATGTTTTAATAAAATACATATTTTTTCCTACCTGTGTAGGACACACCAAATGTACAGGCATGGATAAGCACTATCTATATTCCATAAATTCGGTTTATGGTTAAATTACATGGTTGCTGACGTTTTTGTCTTTGGTTTGTGGAAACAATATGATAACCAGTCATTCAATGGAGCACATCATGAATATAGGAATATTGACTTCGCATAAACAAAAAAACCCAAGTAAGTTTTGAATGGATTAAAAATACTTTGGAAAAATAAAGCTTGAAGTAATTCCACAATGTAACTTAGGTGCGTACAAATCCGAATGTCAATTTTGACTTATATCCAAATTGGGTTTTAAGAAAGCTATTTTTGCAGATACGATCAGTTATGTTATAAGTTACAATCGTGACGTTTTACTACAAATTGATTCTTTTCCATTGGTATAAGAGCATATTCCACAAATGTAATCCAGGTTGCGTCGTGGGGAAAGTTAATTCGTTATTAACCAGGCAAATGAAAGATACGGGACCAATAATGTTTGCAGATCATTTTTCATTGTAAATGGTCAAACATTCACATTATTCATTCTCATTCAAAAAGTCCAACGGAAGCTAAAATGGTGAGAGAAAAAAGAAGACAAACAACAGCAACGCAAAAGAAAGCAAGAGGAGTCCTTAAGGAGTGATCAATAAATACACGCATATATATTCTGTCTAAGTAAGAAAAGATTAGCATAGGCTCCAAGCCTTCTATCCTCAACCAATAAATCTGAATTTGAAAAATTATCGAAACAAACAAAGTAACTTATAATCAGGAAGCGAGAACAAAGAAATCAAATGGGTTTATACTAGCTCGTCAAAACGATATTGGATATTGGAACTAATTTAAACAATAACGGAAACAAAAATGAAATGTATATAAATGTACACTGGATAATTCGACATCGTTCGTGAATCTCATTGGATAATTCGCTGATTGGTAGTTAGTTGTGTCGAAAGTTTAAATTAGCCAAATGACCTACATGGGTCTAGCCCCTCCAATGACCTTGAGCGTGTGGGGTAAGTTCAGTCGTGGTTTTGTTGTTTGTTTTATTATTTTTGATTACAGCTTGATTCCACAGCGTATTTTTGTTCCAAGTATGGAATTTTCAGCGTGGATATCGGTAGCCCAAATTTCGCAGGCCGACCATAGATATCAGGTGTGCGTCGGCGTGGGCTCGAACCCCGGACCATATGCATGGTCGGCGAGAGTCCTAACCACTGTGCCACCGACGCACAATAATAATTTAGAGTCTTCCATTTTTGAAATTGCGGAGGTCATATGAAATAAAAAAAGCTTCAGTAGGTCCGTTGAGGGATACGTTCATCATTTCAAAGTTCGGTTGAGGCGAATTAGCGTGAGAGAAAGTAAGCTAGCTGATGATTATACCATTTTGTAGGAACAGCTTTTGCTAAACCACACCTTTTATTAAGTTAGATTTTTTATATTTGGAACTGCTGGACATTAAAACATGCTGTAAGAGCTGAAAAGATGATTAATGCACAGACTTTCAATCCCTGAAAATGGGAAGACTGATATCTTCATCAGGCGGTGTGTTGTTGTGCATACAGACGAAACAGGCCTGTTTCAGAGGAAACACCCGAGGTCGAAAGAAAGCAAATAACGTTCGGGTGCATGGATTGTACGATAGCATGCGAAGGATTGGGAGGTTAGCTGAAAACCTCTTAATTATCAATGCATTCGGCTAAATGAAATACTAAAATAAATACTCCAGAGTTGTTAGCTCCATAATAGCCAAACGATTTGGGAAGTCTGAAGATGTTTTAGCTTCTCCTACAAGACTCAAAAATGTCATAACAGCCCGGGATAAAACACCTAACCAACGACAAGCGACTGAGAACCCCTTGGATACGAACACGATCATATCCGAAAACATGCTTGATGTCAATGCTAAAGTATCGACGGACACTGAAGCACATAGCTACACTTTCATAATACCAGGTGAATAAAAACCTAAAAGTAAAGTGTAAGTAGACCTTAAAGTAAAGAAAAGCCTAAAAATGAGCAGTAACTGGATGGAATCTCAAAGTTCATGAGAGCATGCTCTCATGAACTTTGAGAATCCGAGGGATTGGCAGATATAGTAGACATGGACGCTTCCACTACGGATAAACAGCAGCTACCAGCAGATCACACTCCATCCAGAGGCAAACCTAAGAGCCTCACATTAGGTACCGGAAGGTCCCCAAACCCAAGGGCCCTACACAGGTGTCCATATACCTCTCTTGCCATAAGCCGAACAAAAAGCATGTAAACTTAGAAAAGAACTTGTCCTACACTAATTCGCCTCAAATGAACTTTGAAACGGTAAATGAATCCATCAACGGACTTACTGGAGCTTTTTAATCTCATATGACCACCACAACAAATGTTTTGTATCTCCAGTTAATCCCACATTTCAGAACACTTTATTCACATTAGACCTGAGAGGTTATTCTGTTGGAGCAGGTGTTTGGCTCTAATCAAGCGAAATAGTAGCTTGAACTTGCTTGAGGAACCTGACTGCTCATTTCGAGGTTTATTGGTTTTGGAGAACTACTTTAGTATTTCTTGGTGCCTGATGTTCAGCTCAACTGTTTTCCTGACATTTACTAGCTAAACTGATGTATAGTGCTTAATTTAAGTTTGGTAAGTGAATGTAATCTGCATCACGAATTATGGTACGGAGTTCCGTGGGCTGTTATGTTTGAAGTGGCTGTAAAAACTTACGACTACTGGCTTTCTGGTGGGTGCTTCGTGGGTGCCCACGAGACATAGCGTAGTGACTTCATGGAACTGTTTGTTTTGGGCAACTCTGTATGCTTGTTGTCTCTTTGGGGTGGATGAGATTCCAGTGCATAATATGGGTACATGAAGTTTTTTCCTAAGAGTTTAGTTTGATTCAATACAGGGGTACTTTCAGGCCATCACCTAGATTCGAAGCAAGCTCACAAGAAGCAACAAAGTTATAAAAATCATTGAAAGCGATTTACTACTTTTAACATATGGAGTGCATCTGAAATTGTAATTTAATTATATTAAGCCTTCTGGATAAGGTTAGCAGCTAGTGGAGATAGAGGAGAATGATTTGGTTCTGCATTGTTTTGCAAAAGAATGGAATGAGTACTCAGTCCTCTTGAAAGTCAGTGAGTATATATTCTGTAAATTTACTTCTATACGCACTTCAAAACCCAATTGCCATTTCTGTTCTTATGAGAGGTTCGGGCTTTCTTGACATTACTAACACGAGAAGATAGTCTGGTCTATTTTAAGTGATGAGAAATCTGTTCATAGAGAGGGCACAAATTTCATTTAACAAGCCTAATAATGCCTACCCTTTTCTTTCTTTCTAGAGTGTTCGCCTACCTCTTGAAAAAGAATTGGAAGTGTGTATACAATATTAGTGATAAAGTTTAAGCAACTAAGTTTCCGAATGGTTTCTGTACACAAACCGAATGAACACAGGCTAAGGCGTCCACTGCGCGAACAGCTGTAACTAAGATTTCAGTTTTTGACTTGGAAATATTATCCGAAAGCTCCTTGTCCAACATAGTAATAGTAATTTAGTATTGGGCGTTAGTCCTCCAAACTGCTTTAGGTGAATTAACCCAATACTCCAAACGCTGCAATCTGAAGATCTATTGAAGAAGAAAATTTGTAATGCACTTCTGTTAACAGTCTCGCGCGACATATTTTATGGTTATTTAGCAGCGTTACTTTATGCAGTTAAAAGACAAAATTTAGTCGTTAGTTGACTTATTAACTATAGCATATTTTAATACATACACAACCGAAGCATTCTGAATACGTTGGTGGCTACACAAGATTTTCAGATGCTTAGGGATGAACACGTACAGGAATACTTCACTCGAAGTACCCGACCAGTAGCTGCTACCTTGACGTGGTGGTCGGGCTTGCACATCGCGATGACCCAACAAGTTGCATTGGCTAGAGCCAATGTTCCTGCAGGTCATACCATGTCAGGAAGGTTGTTTGGATAGCGATTAGACTAAAAGCAGTTACCGACACTGTGTAAGAATCTTTCTTACACTTTGCTGGGGGGGGGTCTGAGGGCGAAATCGTACTGCTGGGGAATAGGGATGTAACAGCTGCAGTGAGGTGTTTTCCTCAGATGACTAGCATGCTAGCCAGCTATGCTGTCTCTCCAATCTGGGGAGAGGGGTTTAGAAAAGGTCGACCCCAAAAATTGTACATCCCGACTTAACCTACGGTGGTCCGTAACCGGCGGTAAGTTAACTAATACCGAACGAATTCCAGAAACCAGTTCATACTGGCCGTGTGTGACCGGCCTCAAGCAGTTGCCCCCTGGGCTCTGCGGTCACACAACACTCTGTACCCGAAGACTCAATCAACTTCCACGGTTTGGGTAACCGGGAAGTAACAACCGCCCACACACTTCCAAAAGCACACGAAGCCTTCCTGAGCATCATTCTCCTTTTACTCACTCAAAATATGTTAGAATTAATCATAATTATTGCTTGCACACTTCCAGTTCCCCTTTCAAGAAGCAGACAAGCGTCCGAGGAAGAATGCAGGAATAGACACTAGGCTAGTAATAAAATGTCTACCTTCCCAATAAAAGGAATATGAAAACCTCTAACTTCTCTTTGTTTTCATTCAGAGTAGCCAAACTATTCTGGCTTATCACGTGTTAAATATTAACCTCTCAGATTATGTCTTAAGGGTTCCTAAACTAAAACTGGTTAAACTTTGTTAGGGATCTAGATTCTCGCTTGTGGTGGTCATTGACTGGAATTCATTGCCAACAATAATGGTATCAGCCCACTCAGCGGATGCTTACATAGAGTGATGATTTCTCCGCAGAAATAAATACTGCAACGACGATGACAACTACTGCGTCTGTTACTCTATATCCCCGAATGCTACTGTTCGTGCTGAATATAAGTAAAGTAACAATTACATTGTAAGTTTTACTTGCAAATGGTCAATTCACAAGAGCGCAGACCTCTTGGATTGATGCAGTTTTAATTAATTATTATAATAAATAATTATTAATTAATTAATATAATAATAATAATAATTAATACCGAATCTCCGTTCCCAAGCAATCCAGAAAAATACGTATTCAATCTTTCAGACATCACACTATCTGCTACCCAACTAGAGGCACTATCTTTAGGTCCAAAATTCTGCGTAAAACCACAAAGTATTGACAAGCTACAATGCCAGATTCAGTTTGAAAATCTAATAAACCAAACTTACGATCCCACACCCACATCAGATGAAAACCTACAACAACTCAAAGCATCAATCCTCGACAGTTGTCACAAGTTTATAAATACCAAACCCAACGGAAGGTCCATTTTGACGAAGAGGCACTATAAGGAGCTGAAAGAACTTATGAAAAACGAAGAGATTATGATATTACGTCCTGGTAAAGGCGGAGGATCGTAATCATGAATCGTAAGGACTATATCAGTAAGATGCTGACTATACTATCCGATGAATGTAAATTCACAAAACCGATTAACGAGAAAAACATGACTGAACAGACCGAACAAAAGCTAACGGACACCCTCCGTAAGCTAAAAACTGAATCTTTCATCAGCAACGAAACGTTCGAATCCATAAGACCATCCGGCTCAAATATACCACGACTCTACGGACTTCCGAAAGTACACAAGAAGGGCATCCCTCTTCGACCGATCCTCGACATGACCAATTCGCCTTATCACCGCACAGCCCAATGGCTAGCAGATCTACTAGAACCAATCAGAAGACAAGTTTCCTGCCACACAGTTCGAGATTCATTCGACTTTATCGACTCAATTGAAAACATCAACGTATCCAACAGGACCATGATCTCATTAGATGTCACATCACTATTCACAAATGTTCCACTGACTGAAACAATATGCTATGTATGCGAACTTATTGATTCCAAAGGAATAAACATCGGTATACCCACCGAGCGTCTTAAAGAACTCCTTCTGAGGTGTACCCTGAATGTTCAATTCTCTTTCAACAACGAAATATATCGCCAAAAGGATGGTATAGCTATGGGCTCACCACTAGGCCCATTACTTGCAGATTTCTTCATGGCAAAACTCGAAAACACATGCATGAAGAAAATGATCGATACCTTCGGAATCTACAAGAGATACGTCGACGACACTTTCATTATCGTCAACAATGAAGAGAATCTAGACGACATCCTGAAGTCGTTTAAAAACTGCCACCCCGCAATTCAGTTCACGCTGGAGAAAGAGTCCAACTCTAAAATATCCTTTCTTGACATCCAACTAACAAGACGAGAACAGGATGGAACACTGAAAAGATCTATCTACAGAAAGTCAACATGGAACGGACAGCTTATTAACTTCCACAGTTGGGTACCCCTATACACCAAACGGAACCTGATCCGTTCACTTAGCAACAGAGTTCGCAGAATTTGTACCCCGGACACCGTAGAAGATGAACTGGACAATCTCAAGAGAATCCTCGTCGAGAATTGTTACCCAGAACGATTTATTGCAAAATCTATGAATCCTAGGCCACAAAAGCCGCCCATGCATAGCGTCCCGAAGAAACCGCTCTACATAAACCTTCAATTCAATGGAGATATATCTGCGGAAACACTAAAAAATCGACTGTCGCGCTCACTCAAGAAGACCTTCTTCGCAGCTGAACTACGACTAACTTTCTCCACAAAACCTATGATTCATGTGAACGTGAAGGATAAGCTACCACTGTTGGCCTCATCAATGTGTATTTATCAATTCACCTGCTCGTGTGGAGCCAGGTATGTCGGCCGTACCCAGCGCTCGCTTTCCAAGCGTATCACCGAACACTTACCAGCATGGTTTTACAAAGGAGAAAAACGATGTCCCCGCAGCTCCATCTTAGAACATCTGATAGATTCCGGACACCAAGCTGCACCCCAAACAAACTTCAAAGTAGTCTACAGAGTAAGAAGTAGTCTTCCAAAAGGTGTACGAATCAGACTTCTTCAAACTGCAGAAGCAATGGCGATTCACTTGCTAAGCCCTGAACTCTGCATACAGAAGAGGTTCGTTCAATCACTACACTTACAATGGACTTAATCTATCTTATTACCTGAAAGGTAAATTCTACCTAATCTTTTTTTCTTTTTCTGTCTCTTCATTGGTATTATTCTGTCTTCTTAATTGTAATATTTTGCATTTTCAACTTTCTTGTTCTCTACCCCTACCCGATTTAATTTCTACACCTCACTACCACTGTTACTGATATGACCAACGCTCAATTTCTAGTCATTTATGTTACGTCATCCAACTTAATTGCTCAATTTCAGTTCTAATTTAAATGGCATTATTATCAACCCCACTTCTACTTAGTCTCTACCTGTAATTACCTCTGTTGCTACCCTGACCTAAGTTAAAACATTTTAGTCAATTGTATTACGTCATCTAACTTACTAACTCAATCTTACTTTAGTTGCTGTCCAATTAACTTTGTTTCTATATTAGATCATTCTTTTATTACCTGATCAATTATCTAATTTTGACAAACCTCATGTACACACACACACAAATAATTATATATAAATGCGATTGTACAGCTATGTGAATAAATTCGCCGAAAAGAGTCTCTTCGCTGAACGTCTTCTCTTTTTCATATGACTAAATGGGGATATTCAAGCACTTTTTTTGTCTGACCACTTCTAACTCTTTCCGACTTAGCCCTGTTTCAGCTGACATTGCTCATCAAAGAAGGCGGCAACTTGACACATGTGGCACACGCCCAGGCCATCTCAATCGGTGGGGTTTCATGACCTCATCGGTTGGCTTTCCCTCCTTGCATGGCGCTCTACGCCTTAACTCATTATTATTCACCATGTTGTCCCACTTAACGAGACTTTGTAAAAAGCTGCTCGTCTTCGTCTACCTGACATCTCAAAAGACCGCTTCTTAAAGCCATATAGGATGGACTTCTGGTTTGGATTTACCCGTATACCATGCTGGCTCTAAAACTAGTGCTAATTGGCAAATACCAAATGAGCCTTCTGCGTCCGCAATGAGATATCAATCCCCCCCCCCCTCCTCATCGTCCGAAGTAGGTGTAGTAGTGGTTAACACACTCAACCATTTCACCTGATTCAGAATAATTCACAAAGCATACGATTAGCTGTGGGTGTGCAAGTCTGCGATCTAAGCAACATATTTCGAAACTGGTAAGGAAATATGTCGACTGATTCTTTTTCTTGGATATATATATATAACTACTTACCAAGTGTTTAAAATAACGACTTGTGATGACACTTCTTGTGTGTAGTAATCCTCGGCTTGTACACCTTCTCCAATTCCTGCTTTATAAAAAAAAACATATTTGTAAAATCTCAACGAGATTGAAATGAGTAATTCCAACGTCTACTGCGTTCGGAAATCTGGTCCAAACTTCTTCAGGGAAATTAATCGAAATTAACATAACAGAGGTTTATATATATATAAAAGGAACATCTCTTTTATTTTTAAAAACTTTGTTCAATCATGATTCATAAAACAAGTATCAACAAGTATAATAAACAAAATTGTATGAGCTGTGATCAAAATTTGACCTCGGACTTACAAACATTGGTCTAACTTTGTTAGACACTTAAACATAGTGTGTATGTGTGTGGAAAACAGTTGTAAAACATTTCTTAACGTCTCCATAAGAAGAAGATATAGACAGTCGGGAATTTCGACCAAGTACTATTAATTAGTGATACAAAGCCTTTGTTATTTATTAATCAGGATTTCCTATGCATCAGCTAACATCACACCTTGATGTCTGTTCAAACTGTTAGTATCTAGAATTTTATGATTGGACGTATTTTCGAAATTATGGTGTTTAGGATTATAGTTTAGTTGAAGCACCCTGTCATACTTATTGCTTTGTCTTCTTTCTGAAGATTGAGGTGCTTTATTCGACCTACCGGAGTTGTCAGGTAACTCGAGAGCTACGGATTTAGGATATGCATTCTGCTGCAGACAACAGCTGTTGACCCACATACACACTCTGTTTAGAGTGTTTAACAACGGTAGACCAATACTTGTAAGGCTGAGGTCAAATTTTGATCACAACTCGTACAATTTTGTTTACTATACTTGTTGTTGATACTTGTTTTATGACTCATGATTGGACAAAGTTTTTAAAAACAAGAGATATTCCTTTTATACATATAAACCTCCGTTATGTTAATTTTGATTGATTCCCCTGAAGAAGTTCGGAGCAGATTTCCGAACGTAGGAGACGTTGGGATTGCTCATTTCAATCTTGCTGAGATTTTACAAATATAATTTTTCACAAATGTCTACTTCTTACTCGGCTCTCAAATATTTTAGAACTATTCTGTCAAATCTTGACGACAGTTCGTTTGAATTCCTATTTTATCTTTAGTCCTTTATTCTCTCTTGTATCTGTTGTTTACGATCATTTTTATATGTGGAAACAGTGAATAATTTAATAGTCCTCTGTAGAAAAAAAATATTCTAACCAATCTTTTTTATCTCACAAAATTTCAGTTTCTTAGAACTTTAAAGAAAAAAAATCGAATAGTAACCAGTACTCCCGCTGTTGCTGCTGCTGTGCTGTACAAATCTGTACCGTATACTAATTTTTAATATGTGGAAATATGCCATACGATTTGTGAGGCTTTATCGCAATCGAGTTTACAAGTGAGTCAGGTTTTTTTTTACTTGTCATAACACAGAGAGTTGTATTTAAGTGTGTGTGTTAAATAGTTAAAATTCCTTAATAAAAAATATATATAAGCTAGAAAATGGACCTCTGAACAACCTTATCAGTAAGCTCTCATATTATTGCCGATATATGGATGATACCTTCATTCTTTGTGATAATGGTTCTGATAGGAGGACAATAATTACTGGATTCAATGAACTACATTCGGCTATGAAATTCACATGTGAAGAGGAATCCCAAGACAGAATTGCCTTCCTGGATGTCTTACTTACAAGAAAACCAAATGGTAGCATAAAAAGAAATTTGCATAGAAAAAGCACTTGGACAGGACAGTATACACATTTTCACAGCTTCTTTCCTATCAAGTACAAAAGAAATTTAGTGAAGACCCTCATCCACAGAGTTAGTTAGAGCTATATGCTCAGAAGAAGTAATTGAAGATGAATTAAGCATTGTATATGATACTTTGATCGAAAATGGCTATCTCGACAAATTTATCAAGAAACACATGACAAAGAAAGCTGAAAAGGACTACTCACTATCTGTAAACAAGAAGCCTCTTTATATACGACTGCAATTCGAGGACGATATACGAAGTGCGATAATTACGAGGAAATTAAGAAAATCAGTTCAAAAAACTTTTAATGCTGGCGAACTACACGAATTATTCTCTACATGACCGACTGAAAGATGAAGTACCTAGACTAGCCACTTCAAATTGTATCTACCAATTCAACTGCGCTTGCGTTGGAGCGAGTTATATTGGCCGTTGCTCTAGGAACTTGATTTTTGGTGCTCGAGAACATCTCTTACTATGGCTAAGTAAAGGTGTAGGTATCGAACCATTAACAGTTTGATATTTTATTTTTATTTTTTATTTTTGATTACAGCTTGATTCCACACCGTAATTTTGGTACAAGTGTGGAATTTTCAGCGTGGATATCGGTAGCCCAAAATTCGCAGGCCAACCATAGCTATCAGGTGTGCTTCGTCGGCGTGGGCTCGAACCCCGGACCATGTGCATGGTCGGCGAGAGTCCTAACCACTGTGCCACCGACGCACCATCTGGTGAAAACCGACTGGCCACAAAGCCAGCCAGCGAGGAAGAATCCTTCTCTACAATCTACTGGGTGCCTAATAAATTGCCGAAATCATCGAAGCACCACATGCTCACCTCAAACAACCAGCGCTCTGTGTTCAAAAGAAGCATGTCCAGCCCCTACTACTGCCCTGGCCGGCCTTCAGTAGAGACTATAAATTCATAAATTTGTAATATTATCTTTGCTAATTTTTCTGACATTCACCCTATTTTCTGTTGATGCTATTAAGCTGTAATCTACCAATATTATTGATTCGATGTTATTTGAACATCATTAATGTTGTTCATAACACTAATTCATTCATTTACTATAGAACCTGATGGTCGAAAAGAGTACTCTTTGTTCAGTATCCATTCTTTTGAAAAAAATATGTTCTGGATTTCAGGTTTACATCTTCATTTGATTTAACTAACTAGGCTTATCATGGCATAAGAAAGTAGTAGTTTGTCTGCTGTGATTAAAAAAAATGATGACGAGATTTGTGAAATCAATCTGCATTTTGTTTATTTATTTATTTTTATTTTTGATTACAGCTTGATTCCACACTGTATTTTTGGTACAAGTATGGAATTTTACAGTATGGATATCGGTAACCCAAATTTTGCAGGCCGATAATAGACATCAGGTTTGCGTTGGCAGGGGATCAAAGCCCGAACCATGTGCATGGTCGGCGACATTCCTAACCACTGTGCCACCGACGCACATTGGGCTTCGTGGACGATACGAAACAACAGTATAATTAAGCGTTGCTGTTTTTGTTTTTTTTTAAATTTTTTTCCAAAATCAATATCTTATTATGCTTGATTACTCTAATAATAAAACATATAAGGGGTCTAGTGATACATCTGTGTATAGTTTGTATGAGGAGGAAATGTAGGTAAACATTGAGACTGTTATTGAGTTATCAATGAAATTGTTTTTATGCTAACCCAATGAATTCACCGAAGATTCACACCAAAACACATCCACTTGAAGCTAAACATGATATTCGATAATGAGAAAAAAAGAGGACAACTATACTCTTCTGACTGAAGTACGTAAGTGAAATACAAATAAATTACGTTTTTATCCCCCACTGCATGCATACGTATCAAGGTATTATGATTAGAGTATAATTGTGAATTTATATTTCTCATCAATAAACCACTCGTTTTCACTCCTATACATTTATTTCGAGTGCAACAGAGGACTTCAAGCCTTAACCTTTTAAATCCTCAGTAGAACTTGTGTTGTTTTCACCGGATGAGGTCAACTGACTGCTTTCAACATAGAACTGTACAGAAGGGCAGTAGTTCAACTTGCCACATTTCATCTACTACATAAAGTAAGACAAAAGAGGGGAAAAAGAGATTCAAGAAAACGATAATAAGTGGAAATGAGAGGGTGAAAGAATAGCAACATGCAAGAACATCAAGGTTTAATGGATATGGAAGGTCTCAAAGAGTAATACCTCTGTTCTATTTAGAACCAACTATCTCCAGACATCGATTTTTAAAATCCCGAGGAGTTGAACCAAGAAGAATTCACCTCCCCCTACATAGCTTGAACTACCTGCTATTGGATTGTATTGACTGATTCCATGTTACGGTTTGTCCACCACTAGATCTTTTTCAAACTCATCCTATCTATGTCAGCTAACGTTGCCCGTCGAAGAAGGCGATGGCTAGTCATGCGTAGTACATGTTCTAACCATCTCAGTCGATGTAACTTCACAACCTCGTTGACTGACTTTCCCTTCTTACCTAACACTCGATGCATCACCTCAATATTACTTACCCTATTATGCCACCTAATATAGGAGACAGAACTCAGACACTTATGATGAAAGAAAGCTAGCCAGCCTTTTCATGTCTTCCACTTTCAATGACCTGGCCACTGAGAGTGGAAGACATGAAAAGACTAGCTGTCTTTGATCATAGGTGCCTGCGTTCTATCTCCCTCCCGTGTAACGTGGCATAATAAGGTGAGCAACATTGAAGTTAGGCGTAGAGTTCCAGGTAAACAGGGGGAATCAATCGACGAAGCCGTGAAGCTACAAAGACTGAGATGGTTAGGACATGTGTTACGCATCAATGCCTAGTCATCGCCTCCCTCGACGAGCAATGTTAGCGGATATAGGGTCAGGCTGGAAAAAAGCTAGCGGCGGTCAAACAAAAACTTGGCACCAGTCAATGAAATCCACGACAGTTGGTCTAAGCCACGTAGAAAGGTGTAGACTTCCAGGCTGGGGTCCTCGGGACGGTAAAAATCTATGGTTGGAAACAATTGGTGACATGGCTCAAAACCGTTCTCAGTGGCGCAGATGCATCCACTCCCTGTGACTTATGATCTTCAATGAAACTGTTTTGCATTTCTTTATTACTCCTTTGTCTCACACCTCTGCTCACTGTTTCTATTATGCTGTTCTTGTACTTTCTTCTCTTGCTTCGCGTGCTACACGGAGTGTGGCGACTTGAACTTCCGCACATTTGTGCAAAGTTCTATGTCGAAAACAGACAGACAGACAGACCATTTCTCACAGCCATAAAGGAGGATGGGAAGAACTGGTGCGCAGTACAAACGTCGACTGATCTATAGCCAGTCGGATATCATGTCTGTACCGGAGATGAAATAAGTTTGCAAATCCCCCAAAAGCTTGTTGGAGCATTCCAAATAAATGAAGTGGTCAACACGCCCTGCCACTTCACTCCTTTGCTTTTAAACTAGCAGTCGGTGTATTGCACTCCTGTAGGATAATCTTATATTTAACAGGGGCAAATCGCCTGCGAAACGTTCCGAGATTTCCGCCTAAAGTGTGCTCAAGAAAGGTTAACATAATGCCAAACCTTACCTCTTTTCTGAGCTTACTATCTAAGAGATGAGGTTAAGGAGTGTGCCTGTGGTTCAGTAGTAGAATAAACATCATTATTATTATTATTGTTCCCTTGGGTTCCTGGTGGAACATAGGGCTTCAACTGCACATCACTTGTTTCTGTCTTCTGCTGTACTTTTCACCTGCATCCATGTTAGTCCATACTGTTTCAACTCCTCTTACGAACATTCCACATCCCCATCCTTATTTTTACTTTCATCGAAAGAAGACACATCGGCTGGCTGGCTTCTCGAAGGCTTTCACCAGCCTGCGTCATTTCACTTCCCCGATTCCAGCGAAAAATAAGGTTATTGTTTATATTTTTAGTATTTTTAACATATTTGTGCGTTGAAGTTTCTGTAGCAATTTGGTTAAGTTTTAGGGGTGGAGTTGCTAGCACCACGCCCCAACCCTCCCTCTTTGTCCGGGCTTGGGACCGGCTAGAATAAACAACATAATGAGTATAAACAATTTAACCTTTAAGTTGGTTCTATTCGCCAGGTCTAGATTTTCTATAAAACCTTGAAATATATACTCTGAAAAGTTTTTTATGTACACGTATATATATTTCGAAAAACTGTTTGCTTTTATATTTCAGCTTACTATACACTCGATGTAACACTCAAATCCGTCCAACATTCACTAAAACATTGTCATTCTCTATCCCTTTCGCTTGGTGGCCATTTGAATTTTTAAAACAGAAGGATATACACGAAGAAATTCAACAATCCTTCACCAACTGTTTATATCTCATAGCAATCGGTGAATTTAAAGAAGCCGATAGTAAATTACATGAATTATTGTATTATGTAAATGCATCTCATGAAAATCAAAAGCTTACTGACCTTGAATACACTAATAAACGTGCAAGGATTTGCTCTGAAATGGCTAACTTAAGCCTTCTTATGGGAAATCATTCAGCTGCAGAAAAACTTATTCGACAGACAATGCAAGATTGTTTAACTGGTGAAATATCAACAAAAGATGCAATGTTTATTGAATTATCACTTAAAATGGCACTGCTATTTGAAAAATCTGATAGAATCGATGATGCAGAAACTGGTTTTCGATATTGTATACAAACACAAGAACAGAAATTAGCTAGCTTAGATGAAAGTGTCGACAGTACAAATGAAAAGGCCTTACTGGGAATGTGTTGTAATTATTTCGCCAAGTGAGTTTTACTAAAAACAGATTTTCTTAGCGCTCTCCTGTCATTTATTTAATTATTTAAACGCAGAAAAAAAACTTGGTACAATACGGCACCAAGAAAGATGCGCCCCACAAAATTCCATTTATTGTGTGAGGACTGAGATACTACTCCTTTGTCTCACACCTCTGCTCACTGTTTCTATTATGCTGTTCTTGTACTTTCTTCTCTTGCTTCGCGTGCTACACGGAATGTGGCGACTTGAACTTCCGCACATTTGTGCAAAGTTCTTTGTCGAAAACAGACAGACAGACAGACCCGGGCGCCCAGACCGAAGCAGGTGATTTTCTTAAGGGACCATCCCCCGAGCCTTTGACTTCGAGTTTAATCCGCAAGGCAGCGGACCAGAGTCAGAAGCTGCATTCCAATGGTTGTCAGTGACCCATATGGGTTCATACGCCATTTGATCCCATTGGATTCTGGAGCCCCATGGTAACTGCTTTTAGTCTAACCGCTATCCAAACAACCTTCGTGACATGGTAGGATCTGCAGGGATATGAGTCCCAGCCAGTTTAGCTTGTTGAGTCACTGCGGTATTCAAGCCCGACCACCACGGCAAGGTAGCAGTTGTCGGCCAGGTAGAGAATTTAAAATGGTTGTAAAGTTCAAATTCTCAATCTGCGAATTAGTTCGTGATTTTGTTAATCAATTTTCAATTTACACAGTTCGGCTAAGTAGGGCCAACTAACTAGTCAGAAATCGGGTGGTCTGAGGTGGTTTGATCCTCTGAGTTAGTTAAGTTAAACCGGCTGCATCTCTGATAAGTTCGGTCCCAAACTAGTGAAACCGCGCCGTCCAGTATCCAGATAACTTCGATTTAGCTAGCAAACACTGCAGGTTGATGTGAGTGACATACAACTACTCATCCCGATCAATAAGTAGTATGTGTGTGTTGTAAAGTTCATTGATTAATTAGTCTTACCTTGTAACCTGGATGGTTTAGTACCACTTGATGTTGATATAAAGGAAGTTAACTTCTCCATTTACCTCTTCTTTGTTTGAAAGTCGAATTAGTTAAATTGGTCTTGATATATATATATATATATATATATATATATATATATATATATATATATATATATATATGGTGATCTCTCTTCCTGTTTGCTCGCTTAGTCTGTGACCATTTCACTTTGATGAACCTGTCTCCTTTAACAATGTATATTCCCCCTATATTATATATATGTGTGTTTGTTGACATGTCTGCTATATTTTGCTATGTATATATGGATCGATACTCCATTATAATTAGCCAATCATGTTAAGACTGTCTATTGGTTTGTTCACACACTTGTTCGGACTTTCATATATATTTTTGCTCTCACACGCTTGTGGGACATATTGATTCTCCTTGTGTTTGGAAAATAGAAGTATCATCGCAAACCTAGTGGTCTTCTGATTTCCGTCTTTCTTGCGTCAGGACTATTGAATTCTCGACCAGTACATAACAGTCTACGCTTACGTAATACTGTAACAAGAGAAGACAAGGGCCAGGAAACAGATCGTTTATTAAGGAAATCAACACATTTATAGATTTTCATGTACATATTATGGATTATTGTTAGCAGAAAAACAGTCTTCTGACTTGTTGTTTCTCACCGAAAGTTAACCTCACATCTCTTTGTGACCGTTTCTTGAATGGAAGGTCATTTATATGTTAACTGTATCCGCCTACGCAAGGTCTTTGTTCCTATTTTTCTCACGGCCAATATTGAGGACATAAACATTGACGTAAATTACTGTCCACCAATTTTGACTAACAGACAGCTCTCACCACAATACTTTCAAGTGAGAAGAGGCTTGCTAAAATACCTACTGATGTATACGTTACTTAGTTAGTCTGAAGATGGATATAGGAATCCACCAGAAATTAAAGTAATCCTCAGCAATTTAATTTAATTTAAGGATTATATTAATGAAAGTATTACGTAAGCGTAGACCAGTTTAACTAATTCGACTTTCAAACAAAGAAGAGGTAAATGAAGAAGTTAACTTGTTCTAAATCAACACCATGTGATGCTAAACCTTCTAGGTTACAATTTAATCTAATCCTTCAGTCAATGAAATCCACAACAGTTAGTTTCAACCAGCGACGTAGGAAGGTGTAGACTTCCTGACTTGTTGGGGTCCTCGGGACGGTAAAAACCAATGGTTGGAAACAATTGGTGATATATCTGGCTTAAAATCGTTCTGAATGGCTGGTGCAGATGCATCCACTCCTTTCGATTTCCAATGAGACTATTCCTTTGTCTCACACCTCTGTTTACTGTTTCTATTATGCATTTCTTGTACTTTCTCCTGTTGCTTTGTGTGCTACAAGGAGTGGAATGTGGTGACTTGAACTTCCGCACATATTTGCAAAGTTCTATGTCGAAAACAGACAGACAAACAGTGGTTTGATCACTTGAAAATATACCTTGGTCTCCGTGTCTTGCCTTCTACTGTTACAACCCGAGGTGAACAGGGCCTTCGTTTAATTTTAAACCCTATACACAAATTTTATTTTTTTTAATTTTTTTCCTTCACATTCCCCAGTGGAACATAGGGCTTCATGCTAGTGGCTTGAAGTTTCTGTAGCTAGGTTTGTTTAACAGGATGGGGTTGCTAGCTTCACGCCCAACCTTTCCTCTTTACCAGCATTATTTCTGGCTTAGCGAGGTAAAGGAGTGCTTCTGTGGGCGGGGATCGAACCCCGGACCATGTGCGGACCATGGTAAACATTACTGTATAACACTGTGAGACTTAATCAAAACAAAATTTACCCATAATGGAATTACACTCCACCACAGTGCACAAGTTTTATTCTTATATCAATGATAATACTGCTTACATAGAAGTGTAAAACTCAAATTACGCTAATCACGTTATTGTTCAATAAACTGCTTCCCTAATAAATGTCCTTCCTTCTTTGTGCTATAATTGTGCAAAACCATAGATCCGAGGTGACATTGGCCTACGAAATTTTTGGCAGTTAGTTTTAACCAGCCATGTAAGGAGGTGTGAACTACTCTTGTAACAACAGAAGACAAGGGCCAGGCAACAGATCGTTTATTAACGAAATCAACACGTATTTATATATTTCCATGCACATTATTATGGCTTATTCAAGCAAACAAACACAGTCTTCTGATTGGTTGTTTCTCACAGAAAGTTAACCTCGCATCTCTTTGTGACTGTTTTTTGCATATCAGATCATCTATATGCTAACTGTATCCGCCTACGCGAATTCTGCTGTAGTTGGTTTTTGGATCAGTCTTTGCTCATATTTTCTCACGACCAATATTAAGGACGTAAACATTGACGTAAATTACTGTCTACCAATTTGGCTAGTAGACAGCTGTCACCACACTCTGAGTTAATTCTCAGATAATCACTGAAGCATCCACACTACTAGCTCACATGTCAACAGAAGTTGAACACTTCGGTTGAATCAATCAACCGGAAAATTAAAATTGAATGAAAATATTTGTCAGTTATGTATGTGTATATGTGTATATATGTCGTAGTTGTCTTACATTCTCTTCCTCTTCTACAGATTTCTCTTTTCCAATAAACAGTCCGCCGAAGCCCTGGTTTATGCTGAGAAAGCCTACACCATTGCCAGTCAGATTTATCCACCGGATCATCTGAATTGTTTAAACCTACTCATTGACATTAGTGTTATTCAAACAGATTTAAATCTATTTAAAGAATCTCAGCGTACACTGGAACAAGTCATTGAAACCAGTCAAACAAAATATCAATATTTACTTGATGAATGCAATAGTAATAAAGATGCTTATAATCTCTTCAAATCGGATTATTTAAAACAATATGAAGCACATCAAATGATATATACACTAATTCACTCCATATTACAATTAGCTGTAGTTAATTTAATGTTAAATAAACAAGAGTTTGCTGAACAATTATTACTACAAGCCAATCGGATACTGGATCAAGTCAATCATCAGTTGGGCTTGAAAATCTCTTCACATCGTAAACAAATTGATGATTTTCAAGCGCAGTATCATTTACTAGCCTAGATCATGTTATTTTGTAAATCTGCAATCCATAATGTGGAGGTATAATCTACCACAGTTACCAAGTTTTATCCTTGTATCACACTGGCTACAAAGTGCTGGCATAAATCAGACTAAATATCCAATATCACATTGTTTGCAAATATTGCGTCAGTATGTTTTTCAAAATGAAATACTAATACTACTACTACTTAACTCTGAAATCTCAGCGATTCGAAATGAGGATCTATTTGTTCGTTGTGCCTTCCTAGACTATATATCTGCTCTTGACTCGGTCCCTAGGGACATCTTATTAAACAAACTTGCTGCAAGTCAAAAAGAATGTTGGCCTGTTAACTGGTTACATTCATATTTCTCAGAAAGAAAGCATTACACCGTGTATAAAAGGAAGTCTTCCGCTTCATTGCCTCCTGAAGCTGGTGTCCCTCAAGGCGTTGTCCTTTCTCCTTTTCTTTTTTCTTTCTTCTTACATGACTTGCCTCACTCTGATGAAATGAACTTTATGAAGTGCGCTGATGATTTAACAGTTTCAATTGTTGTTAACTCTCAGCTAGATTGTACCAAAATAAATTGGTTCAACCTGTGTATATGTGTGAATACAACTGCAGATGAACTTGTAGATACAGTGTGAAGTGGAGTTCATAGAATTTCGTCCTTTTATCGTAGGTACATGAATCGAAAATGTTGGGAATGTATAGAAAAGAGATTCAGCATAGAATGTACATTTGGTAGCTGGACAAAGCGTTTAAGCTGTGAAAAAAATCGTGATTTGATCACCATTAAATGTTATTTTAATAGAGATATCCTTCTTTAGTACGAAAGCTGTGGTGTCAGGGGTTATTGGCATGTACTTTTCTTTTATATAAATGAGTAATTGTCATGCATTCTATTTTATTTTATTATTGTTAACCATGCTAACTGTAAAGCGTTTGCAGAGAAACTACAAAATGATATTTGTCTTCTTAGTTTATAAGTTATTTGTACATTACTGGACAAGTAAAATGCTCATCAACTACGCATATGGTCCGGAGTTCGATTCCCAGTCGCCGAACACCTTCACCTCATTTAGCCGTTTGTAAGCCGGATAAAGAGGGAAGGTTAAGGGTTAGGCTAGCAATTCCAGTGCATAAATAACGCCATTGCTGCTAAAACGTCATAGTTTAAACCTGAAGCCCAGTCTTCCACTGGGAATGCGTGGGAATGAAATAAGAAGTAATAATAGATAAGACAATCACATCAGTTAGTGGGTATGAGATGGCTGAAGGATGTACTACGCATACTTACCACCACCAACTTTGTCCAGTGTACTCTGCTGACGAAAGTTAGAATAAGTGGAAGTCGACGAAGAGTATATATAATAGTAAGGCATACCATTGATTTACGAAGTCAAGAGAGATAATGTTGATAGCAAATCTATATGACCTTGGCGGCCTGCTTAAATCTTGGGCTACCAATTACCTTAAACATTACAAATCATATTATTATTATTTCCCGCTATAGTCTGCATGACAATGAAGACTGAACTTCCAAGACCTAATGTGACATCGTTCACAGTTTAGCCCTGATACATGAATACCACATATTCGTTTTATTTGTCGCTTCTGTTTCCTGATTGCCTTCTCAAAGTCTTTGAGTTTTGGCTAAGTACTTGTTTCAGTTTTTCCTTTGTTTTCTTTTACGTAACTTGCTGTTGTGACGTGTGGTAATTTTGAGTAGTTTATGGCTCTGTTAGGCTTCTTTTTTTAAATAATAATTTGTCTGCTCCTTCTCCGTCCTCTTTCCCGACCGATAGCTGCTACCTTGACGTGGTGGGCGGGCTCGCACATCGCGATGACCCAACAAGTTGCATTGGCTAGAGCCAATGTTCCTGCAGGTCATACCATGTCAGGAAGGTTGTTTGGATAGCGATTAGACTAAAAGCAGTTACCGACACTGTGTAAGAATCTTTCTTACACTTTGCTGGGGGGGGTCTGAGGGCAAAATCGTACTGCTGGGAATAGGGATGTAACAGCTGCAGTGAGGTGTTTCCCTCAGATGACCAGCATGCTAGCCAGCTATGCTGTCTCTCCAATCTGGGGAGAGGGGTTTAGAAAAGGTCAACCCCAAAAATTGTACATCCCGACTTACCCTACGGTGGTCCGTAACCGGCGGTAAGTTTACTAATACGGAACCAATTGCAGAAACCAATTCATACAGGCCGTGTGTGGCCGGCCCAAGCAGTTGTTCGCTGGGCTGTGCGGTCACGCAACACTTTCTGTTTCAGGTAGCTTAAGGATCAATCCATGGTGTGGGCAGCCGAGAAGTAACAACCGACCACACACTTCCAAAAGCACACGAAGCCTTCTTCATTCTCCTTTCCGTCCTTTTCATTACTTAAAGCTGAAATTGATGTAGTTTTTAAATAGCCTTACACTGCCCAGTTTACTGTGAGACAGTCGGTGGCACAGTGGTTAGGTCTCTCGCCGACCATGCACATAGTCCGGGGTTCGATCCCCTGCCGACGCAAACCTGATGTCTATTGTCGGCCTGCAAAATTCGAGCTACCGATAACACATGCTGAAAATTCCATACCTGTACCAAAAATACAGTGTGAAATCAAGTTGTAATCAAAAAAAGTTTCGTATCCTTATTCCTCTTTATGAATTTAAATAAAGCAAGAGAAATGGTTTGTGAAGTATAAGATGTTACCACCATCCATTTCGTCGGTTTCTCATCATCTGAGTACAGTACAAGTTAATGATTAAGTTAATGTGCAGAAAAATGTTTAGCATGCTTGCAAATGTTTCATGGTGTCAGTTGACAGAAGGCTCCAAACGTTACAAACAGTACTCAAAAATTACATTTGTACAGTTAATACTCAGAAGCTCAAGTTTAAACAAAAACAAATACTTGAATACAATGGCAAAATAGCTACGTAATTCTCCTCAAATTTGCCGAACCAGTCGTTTTCAGACACCGGATACCTAATTTATGTGCTCAGAAAGAAGCAGTTATCACTCTTTCTTGCCTTACCCTGGTAACTGGATGTCTTTATTCCTTTTTGTGTGTTAATAATCTGAAACAACTGACTCTTGAGGACATACTTAATCGAGGCAGAGCGTAAGTGTGAAGCCAAAAGCAGATATCTCCATAATATAAGTGAATCGTAATCGGTGATGGCTGTATGAGGAAAGTGTCGCATTGTGTAATAAATATGAGCGTATCACCAGCTGACTATGTGTCATGCTTTTCGCACTCTGCGGCCTTTTTCTTTTCTTACAGACACTTCGAGAGATTGTCGATTTTACAGTTTTCAGATTGTGCTAACTGGGAGAACTGTAGTTTGTTCCTTGTGAACGCGTGTAATCAGTTACTAAGATGTAGTTTATTTGCTTTCAATTGTTCTTAAGTACTTTTTAAACATGCAAACACTATTGAGGGAAACAGAATTTAGAAGATTAATATTAAAACGTCGTTTTAAAGCCATTGTAATTAAGCTCGATTACGTAGGCGGAACATATTTTACATGTGCCAGGCTAAGAGCCACACCTATTTTGTGGGGACTGGTGACGCTACACAGTTTACCAAGATAAAATAGGTGGAATGGGATTCGAACCCACAACCCACCGATTGAAAACCGATTGCTTAAGCCAAATCAAAGCTTAATTTAAACACCTACATATTGCAGACCTGTGATCACTGGAGAACTGTTTCGTCCTCCTTTGGGACTCTTTGTCAGTGTGCACCCAAGAAACCGCCATGGATTTAACCCGAGACATTTGGTTACGAGACCGAACTCACTGATCATTCAGCGACTTGGGATGGAGTCCAAAGACCCATGAATTCTAATCTTGCTAACTTGTGACATACCACTGCCCTCACCGATGCATTCGATGAGCACTTACTTCACCTTGACATCGTGGATCCCACTGGTCACGAATTTCCATTGTGGCTTCAGGAAATCCACCCAGGAGCCATCAAGCAGCTGGAGATTAATTTTTAGGTCATAGAATTTGTGGGGATTCCGGGGGTAATTTCAGTTTTCGTCACGAAAAAAGTTGGAATTCAGGGGTCATTAAATTCTAACCCAAGTGGCTGAGCATGAACCTGAAGCTCCCAGGTTCGATCCATGGCAGGATCGTAGGTGTAACACTGCTGAAGAGTAAAAATGGTATGAAACAGCTGTCCAGCTCTCCCTGGTCTCCAATAATTCTATCGCTTACTGATGTTGGCTAGTGATGAAAACCTGATTTGTTATTATTATTGTTCCCTTGGGTTCCTAGTGGAAAATAGGGCTTCAACTGCACGTCACCCTTGCACTGACGTCCCACTGGCCGCTTGCTTCCCTTTCGAGCACTGGCCTGACGCGCGCGATGTCACCCAGCGGCCTCCTCAGCCAACTAGTGTCCAATCCATCTCCACTTTCTCCTGCATATTTATTGGGCGATTGGCCCTTGTTCTGTTTGTTCCAGCTATAGTTTCGTGCTGGTGATTCTTTCCGGTCTGACCATCTGATATTCAGTATAGCGAAGAGGGAAGACAGTTAGTTGTTGATAAAGGTCTGCAATAGCCAGCCTGTTGAAAATATTTTTTGTGACCCGCCCGCCAAGTTTCTAATCCATATGGAATAACTGACTTGACGTTTGTATTGAAAATCCGACCGAATTTTGTTGTTGATGCTGGCTGAGTGACGAAGATTTCCAGATTGGTTGTTTCAGGTTGATGAATGTGTGTGTTCTCGCCTTCCCGATGATTCTCGATTTGATATCGTCGTCCGTCCCGACTTCCTGTAGTTGAGACAATGCTCCCTAGATAAGTGAATGAATGAACGAAGTAACCTCTTTCAAATCCCTCCCGCTGATGGTGATTGGCTCTGGATGTTGCTGCTGTTGTTGTTGGTTGGTTATTTTCATTACCTCCGTCTTGTCTATGTTCACCTGGAGTCCTGTCTTCACTGGTTGCTTCTTCGACCAGTTTTCGCTCGCTTGTAAGTCTTCGATTTTATGTGACATCACACATAAATCATCCACGCGCGAAATCCAGGTCTCCTAGGTTCTTCACGTCGGTCCAGGATATCCCTGTCTTCTCGTTTCCACTGTCTGATGCATAATCCAGTCCACCACAATTAGGAATATCATTCACTGATGATAACAAGCACCCTTGTCAGACTCCTGTGTTTACTCCAAATGCCTCGCTGAGTTTTCCGTTGTGGATCAGTTGAAATGTGCCGTTGTCGTACAGCTGTTGAGTAGGGTTGATGAATATTTGGGGTACGCCGTAGTACTCTAGTAATTTCCAAGTTATTTCGCGGTCAACGCTGTCGAAGTCTATAAAGTTGAGGTAGGGGTTTGATTGCCATTCCATGCTTTGTTCTGTGATGATGATGCGTAGAGTTGCAATTTGGTCAGTACATGATTTACCTTTCCTGAATCCAGCTTGTTCTGGTCGGAGTTCTGTCCCCAGTGCGTCCTTTATTCTCTCCAGGATGATGCGACTCAGAATTTTACTTGGCGTCGACAGGAGCATGATTCCTCGCCAGTTCTTGCAGAGTCCCAAGTCGCTCTTCTGTGATAGTTTCACAAGGTAACCTTTCTTCCAGTCAGTGGGCACCTTTCCCTCCATCCAAACCTTTTGCAATAATGGAGTCAGCATATTTGCTGTCGTCTCTGGGTTCTTTTCCAGTGCTTCAAGAGGTATTTATTATGTACTCGTCGCCAAATTATTGTTATGTACTGGTCAAGAATTTAATAGTCCTGATGCAAGAAAGACGGAAATCAGAAGACCACTAGGTTTGCGGTGATACTTCTATTTTCCAAAACACCAGGGGAATCAAAATGTCACACAAGAGTGTGAGAGCAAAAATATGTACATAAATGTCCGAACAAGTGTGTGAGCGAATATTCAAAATGAACAAATCAATAGACAGTCTTAACATGATTGGCTAATTATAATGGGATATCGATCCATATATACATAGCAAAATA